TTTATCAATCCTATTGCAAAAATTTTGAGTGGGTTGAAGAGTTTGAAAAATATAAACAGGAAGAGAGCAAAGAACACTTCAAATGAGAATAAGCCTACCACAAAAGTTCAAAAAATTAAAATCCCAGGACAAAAGCTTATTTTGCATCGAAGTAATCAACTCATCAAAAAGAAAAGATTTCTTACGACCTTTAAAAAGGGGAACCCCAAGATACTTAATAGGCATTTGAGATTGCACAAAACCAGTTAGCGTTTTAGTAGCCATAATATGAGTATGAGGCACTTTGTTAGGGGAAATAAAGCAACATTTATTTTTGTTTAAAGAAAGCCCACTAAAAATTTCAAATTTATGAAATAATCTAAGAGTTTATTAATTTGATTTATAGAAGCATTAGTAAAAATAATAAAATCATCAGTAAAACATAAGTGAGAGATTAAAAAACAACCCAAGGTTCTTAAATCGAGGCTGGGGTGATGGTCAAAGAGGTTTGCAAGGCCTCTAGATAAGTTCTCCACCACAATAATAAAAAGGGCAGGACAGATAGGATTTCCCTATCTAATACCATGAGAGGATTTAAAAAAAACCCAGTGCTTTTGACATTGACAATAATGGAAAAAATAGGATCCTTTAATGTAATTATTGATAAGACTGATAAAAATTGAATTAAAGACAAATAATTATAAAATATTGTAAAGAAAATTCTAATCGATGTTATCATAAGCCTTAGAAATATCAAGCTTCAAGATAATGTTGCTACTTCTCACCCTAACATCCAGGTCATGACAAAATTCTTGAGCCAAAAGAATATTATCAGTAATGGCTTTGCCCTTAACAAAACCCATTTGATAGGGAGATATAATTTTAGGAAGAATAGAAGTTAAATGACTCATAAAAATTTTAGGAATCAACTTACTAAAAAAGGTACAAAGACTAATAGGTCTAAAATTATTCCAACTACTAACCGAGTTGGCCTTGGGGATGAGCACAATAGAAGTAGAAGTAAAAAAGTTTAGGGAAATTGTGCCCAACAAAAAAATCTAAAATAGTAGAAAGAAGGCCAGGACTAATAATATTCCAAGCTTTATGGAACAAAACTTAGTAGTAAAACCATCCATCCCAACCACAGAATCACCATTCATGTCACAAATAATCTCTTTTATTTCCTTGAAAGACGAGGGTTTAGAAAGAAACTCATTATTCTCCAGAGATATGAGATTAGGGATAATAGTAGGGTTGTCAATATGAGCATGAGTAAAATCCTTATTGGGGCAATTTTGAAAATGTTGAATAGCCAAATTAGCAATTTTCTCTCCATCCTCAATAATAGAACCATCATCACGATTGATTTTATTAATGAAATTTTTGGCTCTTTTCCTCTTAACTAAAGTATGAAAATATTTGGTATTATTATCACCTTAAACAAGGTGTTTCAAAATAGCTTTTTACTTCCAGAAGGCTTCCTCCTAAGCTTGTAATTTAAACAAACAATCTTTAGCCTCTCTGAGCAAGGTCAAATTATCATCAGAAGTAAACACTTGCCTGTTAACCTGAATAGAGTTCACTTTATCTTCAACAATCAAAATAGTAGTGAAAATATTTTTAAAAATTTTGTGATTCCACCAATTAATGATTTGTTTTAATCTTTTTAGTTTGAACCAAAATATCTTCATGCCAAGAACAGAATTATTAGGATGTAAGGGGGAATGCCAATTTTCCTAAACCACATCCAGGAAAGTCTCATGAAGCAACCACATATGTTTAAATATAACTTGAGGCAAAGAATTAATCTGCCTAGACTTAATAGCAATCAACATAGGAGAGTGATCAGAAAGAGTTCTACTAAGATGCTCAATCAAAATATCATTAAAAGAGTTGAGAAAATTTTCATTAAACAAAACACGATCCAAACATTTCCATAAATGACCACAATTTCAAGTGAATTTATTATCAAATAAACTAATGACAATTAAATTACAATTTATAATCATATTGTTAAAATCCTCCAAAAAGTGGTAATTAGGAGTAGAGCCCCCAATATGCTAAGAAGGATTAGAAATCATGTTAAAATCACCACCCATAAGCCAGGGCAAGTTGAAAATACAATAAAAATTAACGAGTTTCTCCCATAACACTTTTCTAATATTACGAGCAAATGCAACATAGATAAAAGAGGCATAACAATTCAAATTTACAAATTCAATATTACAATGTAGAACTTGAGTAAATTCTCCAATAACATCAATCTAAACAGGATCCTTCCAAAAAACCCAAATCTTATTGGCAGGATTCAAAACAAAATGCTTAAAACCCAAAAATATAATAATACTAGGTAATTTAGAAATATTAATAAGAGGTTCAAGAAAAACAAGAATAGAGACATTATAAATACGACATAAGTTCTTAACTCTCAACCTAGAAGAGGGGCAACCAAGACCGCTAACATTCCAAATAATAGTTTTAAACATAATAAAAATGCTATTGACTAGTTTGCGAATGATGGGTGGTCCTAGAAGATTATAAAGTCATATTCTTATTTTTCCTACCTCTCCTATTTTGAATCTTAGTAAAGCTAATATCATTATCATCTTTGGTAAACCATTTAGCAACAATATACATATCCTCATTATTAGTAAAGGCATCACTATGATAATGAGAGATAGAAGGAAGCATACTATCATTATGTTAGCCCACCCACCCGCCTTACCTATTGAGGAAATTCACCCTCCTAAAACATACATTCATCCTCTATACTTCCTTTATTACTCATGATAAACTCAGCATTGCCTTCCTCAAAGGAAAGGCTATCCTCCACCCTAGCCAATTCACCCTCCTCTAAGGTGTGGCCATTCCCAACTGTTTCTTTACTACATAAGTCAATACCCGTATTAGCTTCCACCACTTTCTCCTGATCATTCACAGCCAAGGTATTAGTACAAGTAGTTGAAAGCAACATAAAATCCATGTCCGACAGGTTTTTATTAATAATACAAGGACTAATAGCATCAGAAATAATAATATTTTGGTTAGTCATAATAGTCAACATTTGCTCATAAGATAAAGGTAGAGTTAAAATTTTCTCCCTGGACATGATTAGGAAATCAACATTAGTAACAAAAGATTCGGTATTAGTACAAGCTAATTGTAATGGGTCCTCATTAATCTCAATCAGTTTAGGGGTATTTCCCTAAAGCTCTCCAAGCTTAGGATTGACATTATCATGAGAATCAAAATTCACAGTATTTCCTTACAATTGTTTGGAAGAATCCTTCTCCTTACGAAGGTGAGGATGCAACCTATAACATTCATTTAAACCATGGCCATGCATTTTACATTGAGAATAAAAATGGGCAAGTTTTCAAATTCCACATTTTAGAAATAACCATTCAACTTTGACCCAATCCAGATCTTATTTGGATGTTTCTTAGAGATATCCAACTCAACCAAAATATGAGCCATAGACGATCGAGAAATAGAAGCAGTAGCTTGGTCAGTTTATAAAGGCCTACCAAGACTCCAAGCCAAACAAAATAAAATTTTAGAATTAAAGAAATGTAGTCTCCGATTTTGAAATGAAATCCACACATGAGAAATTGGGGATTCCTCCCGAACATCCCAGTGTCCATTTGAGTAAATGTATTTGACATGCTTGACTATAGTAGGATCTCCAAGCAAAAATTTAGCTATAATTAAGATCAGTGGAAAGTTGGATCACAATATACCTCTAATCAAGTAAGCTGATATGGAAGGAACCCGAAAACTTTAGGTTAACAAAAAATTTCAAATAACATCAAGGTTAGGTCGCCTAAGGAGGAACTTTCCAACCAGCATAAATACAAATGAAACAACCAACTAAGAAACCATGGAGTCATCAAACATCAAAGCCGTACAACCATTAAATTAAGTATGAACAAAATGAAGCTTAGAGGTAGAGGCAGATGAACCAGGCAAATCATCCTTAAAAGACTGAGATTTACCATAAAAAAGAGTGGAAGTCAAGGGGATGGATGATGATGGAGTTATCATCTCCAAAAGCCAGAAATCTATGACAAAAAACTTAAACCAATGCACGAAAGGAACAAGGAAAAGAAACAGAAATGAAAATGAGAGAAAAAATTGCAAATAAATCACGCCACGAGGACAAAACCATCAGTAAAAAAGTAGGAACCCTAAATCGCCACCAAAGCACCATAACGCATCAGGAAAGAGGATTATAGCACAGTACGATCTAAGGAAATTAAATTATTTGACATGTATACTTGAGTATATTTAGTGGGTTTTTATAATTTTTATATCAAAGAAAACCTAAGCATTGTTTAACGATTGATAGAGCTTTAAATAGTTTTCATAATTCTTTAGGTTACTCCAACGCCCCCATCACATTTTTGGCGCCGTTGTTGAGGAAGAATTTGTTTTATAAATTTACTATATTATTGAAACAATTGCATATTTATCGCTACTATATTCCTTTATTATTTTATATTAATTTAATGATTGCATATATGTGGTTGCAAGTTTAAAAGATATAGAGGGGAGTCATGTTTAAATTTTATTTTTAAAATTGAGAGTACCCTTTCTAAAATTAGAACCACCAAAAAGATTCTTAAAATGACCGACCCTATTTAAGACTTAGATCATTCTAGACCTCTTAAGGATTTTATAAACCATTTAGTAGATGAAATTCTCCAAAGCATAAATAGACCTGCCATCCAGGAAAATAATTTTGAATTAAAACCTACAATCATTTAGATGGTACAAAATTCTCAGTTTGGGGGAACTCCCATTGAAGTCCCAAACCTAAATTTAACAAGTTTCTTAGAAATTTATGTAACATTCAAGTACAATGGTGTTGGTGATGATGCAATAAACTTAGATTGTTCCTATTTTATCTAAGTGATACTACAAAATTGTAGTTAAACTCTTTATCCCTAAGGTTTATTGCCACATGGAATGAGTTGACCCAAAAATTTCTAGTAAAGTATTTCCCACCTTCTAAGACTTCCAAGCTTAGAAATGACATAACTTCTTTTACTCAGTTAGAAGGAGAATCTATTTATGAGAGTTAGGAGAGATTCAAGGAGATGCTTAGAAAGTGACATCATCATGCCTTACCTTATTTGTTAATAATTCAAATTTTTTAATATGAATTGGTTGGATCCTTTGGAGCCATAGTTGATGCTGAAGCTAGAGGTTCTTTGATGTTAAAGTTTTTGAAGATGCTTATGAATTAATTGAAGAATTAACAACAAATAATTTCTTGTGGTCTGTTCATAGAGTGAATCCTAAGAGAGTGATATAAGTTTATGAAAATGATTTTTTTATCTATTTTGATTACACAAGTTACATCAATATCAAAGAAGTTGAGCACTTTAGGCTTATATTTTTATTTATATTTACATTTGGAGATAAAAGATCAATGGAAGAAAATGATATCTATGGGATTGAAAATATAAATTTGATTGTTAAAAAAAAAAAATCCCTATTCAAATACTTATTATTTAGGTTGGACGAATCACCCAAAATTTTTTTGGTCAAATAATAATGATGGAAATCAATAGAATTCAAGTAAAAATAACCAAGACACAAGTTGAATTAATCAAAATCAAGATAATAATAATCCAAGACTAGCATATCATCCTGGATTTAATCAAAGAAATCAGTATAGAATAAGAAAGATACCACTAAAAGATGTGGTCATGTAATTGGGAACTCAATTACAAAATGAAGCGGCTTCAATTAAAAATTTGGAAACTCCACAAAGTTAGCTTGTAATTTTTGTGAGTAGTAAACTCATTGGATATGTTTTTAGTAACACTGACGTTAATCCTAAAGAGATGGAAATAGATACCAATTGGACCCAATTGAAGGGTAGAAATCATCTACCTTAGCCAAATGGAAAATATGGGCAAGTCTGTATGAACACTATAAATTTAGCTCTGCTTGGAAGGTAGCCCAACCATAGGTTTAGTTAGTTATCCAGTCTAGCTGAAGAATATAAACTTAGTGGGAAAAGTCTAAGCCATGGGTAGAATCATTTATACACCATCTTCTTTATAGAATCAAAATGAAAATCATGCCAAGAATGAGGATTCTTTTTCACTTCTTTGAATACAAAATTTTTCCAATATTACTAAGTTAAATGAATGTATAGAGGAGTTGCATGAAGATAAGAAGAAGTATATGGTAGAAATAAGGAAGATGTATGGTTGTAGAGTTTACTTTTATGATTTTTTTTTGGGAAAGATGTGTTGCTATTTGATTATAATGAAAAGTATTATCATGGAAAAATCAAATTAGGATGGATTCCCCTTTCACTATCAATAGATTTTTTTTTTTAATTGTGATATCAAGATATAGTATAAGAAAAATTTATAAGCCATAAAAGTTAATGGGTATAGATTGAAACCATGTAATTAGAGTATTGAAGCATTATTAACGATGTACATGTTTTTTTTAACTATTCTACATCATTGTTTTGTAGAAGAGAAAGAGATGAGAGATATTGGCTTGTATAATTGTACTTAACTGAAAAATTTTGGCTTTGAGAGTCATTGTTGAATGTTGGGTGCCATGTACAATGGTTATCTTGTAACTGTGTTATGTTATGTTAATGATATATCATTTTTTTGTGTTCGAAACATATTTTATGCACTTTTTATCACTCATATGAAAGCATGTGTTTGTAGTATTTGTTTATGTGTTTATTTGTATATTAGCAAATTCCCTTCATGCTTAAATTATTATTATCTTTGAATTACTTTTTTATTCTGATTATTTAACTAACCCTTATAAGAATGATAATGAAAAATTATTAAAAATTAGGATAATAATGAAGTCCTAGATTCTAGTTTGAATGAATCATGTTTATAATTCATAGGTTAGATAAACTAATACGTAACTCATTCAACCATTTGAGTTATTATCCAAATTTAAATTTATAAGCTATACCTTTATGAATTTAACTTTTAAAATTGTAAGATGAATAATAAGTATTAAAATTAGATATAAGTATATTAAAGTTTTAAATCATAACTAATATGAAGATGAAATTAGTAATCTCATCAAGTCAATACATTAAAATTATTAAGATTGTATGAAAAGCTTAAAGTAGAAGCTGATATTCAAAATCATTAATTATGCACTCCATAAAAGAAAAATAAAAAGAATTAAAAATAATTTTGAAAAAGAAAAAAAAAAGAAAATATAAAAAGTAAAAGATGAGTATATTCAAAAATTGGTATAATTGAAAGCTTAATATTTGAAATATAATCTTATATAAAAACTATAAAGGATAAGATGAGAGAGCTAATACAAGGGAGGTAAACTAATGAAAGTGTAATTTTAACTATAATAGTGCTAGGGTGTTACAATTGTATTTATTTAGGCCTTGATATGCTAGAAAACCAACACAATTATTCATTAAATAATGGGTCAATGTCAGCAAGTATCACAGTAGAAGAAACCCTTTAGAATTGTGGTGTTAGTTCAATTTATTAGCACCATGGCATAATTATTTTGAGCACTATTGTGCTAGAATCCATTTTCTATATATATTTTTATAAATAGTTCATTTGTAATATTAGTAAGAAAGTTCAATCACTTTTGTTAATTTAAGTTTTTATATTAATTCTCTGATTTTTTCTTAGTAGTGACAAGTAAGTGAATTCTGAGAAGTACTAGCTAGATACATTCCATTAGAGTGCTTGGCTTCAAGGAGTGAAAAATAGTTCATTCAACCCATTCGTTGATATCTTTTCGTTTATTCTTTATTTTGTTTGTGCAATTAATGAAAATATATTTGCTTCACTTGTTTTTCATGTCTAGCTGAATCTAGTTTTAGATTGATGGTGTAAAAGAAAAGTGGAGTACTATTGAATTCTTTTCATAAAAAAATTCATGATGTTTTCAATATACAAAGGTATTTATTTAATGCATATAGAGGCCACATGTGTAGTTAATATTAGGTGTAATATAGAGCCTAAGAGTAGAAAAGCAAACACAATTAGTTATGTTAGATTGGTATGATACAAGCATAGACATAGTGCTTGTCATGTATAAAGTTTATAGAGATGAATTATCATGAGGGGGGGGGGGGTTTTAACAATATATGATGCTTTACTTACTTTTATAAGATTCTCATATGGAGATAGATAATGAGAATTTAGAGTGGTATTGATGTTGGATGGTTTAATCTGTCCTTTGTTTCTTGATGAGTGACTAAGCAAACGGTGATGCATATATTTTGAATAGCATCAATATAAAAAAGAATCATTAGGAAACATATTGTATTAATATTTTATCAATCCAAAACAATTTATACAAATAGTATTTAACTTAATTATGTTTTCAATTAAGTGATTGAATCTTCACCAAAATTATTTTTATTGAGTAGTATAATTATTGTAGTTGAAGTAGAAAGTACTAGTATTTACATGTAAATATTTTTTTTTCATGGGATCAATACTCTACTTTATCATTATATTGAAGGTTTGTGAAGGTTGTTAAACCTATAAGAATTAGGCCAAGGCTAACCAAAAGGGAGGGGGGGAATTGGATATTTAAAAATTTTTTATGGGAAAAGAAAATCTTTAAAACCTTTTCTAACAAACACAAGATAATCAATATAACAGATACATAAATAAGTAAATTTCACAACAATAAAAGAAATAAAAAATTTTAACCATATATATAATTGCAGAAAATAAAGTGCTTAAAATAATCAGATTGAATACATCATAATTTATAGTTATTCGGTCAACTTGATCTACGCCCACTCCTTAGAGAATCCCTCTATAAGTTTTGCATTAATTAATAGAGACTCTCCTTTTGCTCTTATAGCATGTCGGAGAAGCCAGTATAGATGTTGTTTCACCACTCCGGTGTGGCAAAGAATTGTGACTAATTTACAGGCAAAGAACCTCAATTCTATTTCCACCCTCCAAGTGATGGCCAGAGAAACACAAATTTATTTTCACCCTCAAAGTGTTGGTCAGAGAACTAGAACTCTATTTCACCCTCTAGGTGATGGTCAAAGAACCACGATCTTTGCTGAAGAACTTCTTCCACGGAGCCACAGAGAATCGAGGAAGACGCTTGTAGATAGTAGGCAAGATTCTTGCTTGGAACAACCTTTTGAATCCCCTCACAACTTTTCCCTAACAAAATCTCCCTCTCTTCTCTCACAAAGCTCTTATTCTTTTCTCCCTTAAGGCTCTCTCCCATGAAATCTCAACAGCCAAAGATTTCCTAATAGAAGAATTAGAAAACTAAGTAGTGAGCTTCAAGAAATAATATTTTTTTAAGAGATCCTTCTTCTATTCGTACACAATGATACATGTATCATATAGTACGATAAGTGTAATTTAGACATGTTCAGTTAGGTCATGCAGATGAAATGTTCAACCTTTATAACAATTCATATAGTGCAAAAAAAATATTATATGATATGAACTATAAAACTTATTTGGGTTGGTTTGGGATGACCCTTGGGATGACCAACTTCATACACTATCGATCATCTAGCTCTATGGACATCGTAAAATATGATCAGTTAAAAAATCATATATTTCATTCAATTATGATATTCGAGACGACTAATTTCATGCACTTTCAATAGTAGTGTACAAACTGTATCATATAATATGATTGATCACAATAATTATCCATGTTTTAATTACCTAATATTGAGGGATTAATTAAGAAAGATTCTAATTAGGGCGTAAAGTATGAACTAAATTCTATCGTACAATCAACACATATTTATTAACTTTCTTAACCAAAGTGGCTAGGGTTTTGACAGAACACAACAAATCATACAACACGAATTAAAATTGTACAGTGAAAAAAAGGTCATATAGTACGAACCCAAAATGATACAGTATGATGTACTTTAAAAAAAAAAAACTCTCTCTAAAATATTTTTCTCTCCCCTCCTATGTGTGTGCAAGGTTACTCAGCAATGATATCCACCAAATCATATAATACGACTCAAGAAGGGAAATATATAGAACAATTTTAAAAGAATAGACTGTAACCCGAGTCTTCCTAGTCTTGAGCTGATCAAAACTGTAAGTGATCGGTGGACTAATTTCTTGAAATGCTAGTACACAC